ATAGTGATATTTCTATAATAATTATATTCGCATCTGTTGATTACAATGAGAAATAATAAAAATAAAAATTTCGATTACCCCGACACCATGAGAAACGTTTTTAATATTTTTTTGAAAATACTACGTGTTCGCATATATATATATATAAGAATATATGAAGAATAAATCAATTTTCTATTGAATTTCAAATATATTTTTCGCATGAGAATTCTAACGCAAAAATAAGTTTAAATTAATTAGAGATACAATAGATTACTCTATCCTATTGCTTGTTGCTATTCATTGTTAAAAATTTCTATTGTCTTCATTCGAGCAAACATTCAGTGCCAAATTGTTTATTCAGAATTGAATAATTTCGTCCAAAAAGAATAATTTCCTTTTCTTCTTCCTTTGAATGTCTATTGTTGTTATATACGCGATATTTCTTCAAAGTGTACGTGCCTGAAAAAAGAAAAGAAGTGGTAAAGCAAATAGAAATGGATTGAGTTACGTCGCTTTTCAAAAAAAGGTGAGGAAAAAGACATTTGAAAAAAATATCGACTAAACCTTATGAGTTGAAAAACATTCTTCCTCACAACAATAGTAGCACATCAACTTCTTTCAAATTTTCGATCGTGGTAAGTTATTAGGAACAAAGGTGTGGGTGTGGGTGTCCAGAACGTCAACACCCACACCCACACCCATTTTTATACACATACAGTTGGGTTAGATTTCAATTCTCTAAATTATATTAGTTATCTGATTTATTTCTCTGTTTTTTGTGTGAGATTGTCTGACGATTAATTTCTTTTTGGATGCATGCAGCAGAGAGTGAAAATTGAATTGGATTAAAATTCATCTATTAATAATTAAATCATATTTTTGAAACTCTTCTTTCATTCATCGCTGTAAAGAATAAAATGAACGAAATCAACAACTTGATTAGGGATGTTCAGTGTCAGTTTACTGAGCACTGACTTCACTGAGAACACCGAAAATATTCAGTCAGTGTTCACTGAAGCACTAAAGATCAGTGGAACACTGGTACACCGATAACTTCTGATTCAATATAGTTGTAATACAGCTACTGTGAAATCTTTTGAAAGAAAAATACGCATGCGAAAGAAGATTGCATTGGATAAGACAGTATGACCAGGATAATTTCTCAATTTTGTTTCTTATGCCTCAGACGCCCCAGGAAAAGTGAATCAAGTTAAAGTTGAATTACGCAATGAGATTCGTAAATTCAGAGTTAACTCATATTTTCGAGACGACTTTACTTTGAATTAACTAATCGCATTGCGTAATTCAACTTTAACTTAATTCACTTTTTCTGATGCTGTTGCAGTCTTAGAGTTGATTATATCCAAAGTAATATTTTCAATGCATTACTCAGTTATCCATTTGCTGTTACCGGATAGCATACGCTATGATTGTTATAGCTTTTATCTTCCTTTTCTTCTTTCATGGTATTTATTCATTCTCTCTCTTCCCTTCTATGATCATTCCAGGCTGAGAAATTCGACCGCAGAAACTTGTCGGATTCAGGTAGTGTCCGTTTCATTTTATAAATGCGGCCTAAGCTACGCAAAACAACTAAGTTTCTCTTTGTTATGCAGAATAAATTTGAATCTTTCTTGAACGTTCCACACAGAACGAGAAGTTCTACGTAGCACACCAACCTATTTAAATACATAGTTGAGAGGCGTTGAATTCAATGATGGTATTCATGTATTCGAGTAAAGTAATAAGTGATACAATCCATTGAAGTTTGTTCAACAAACTTTGTTGTATAATTTAAAATTGTAGACTATTCAACATTATGATATCCTTGGCAAAGATATATACTTTCATGAGTGCAGTGGCTCAGTGCTCCACTGAGCACACTGCCAGTGATATCAACCCCAGTTTTTCAGTATTTACACCAGCACTGCACATCCATACTCTCTATTATATAAGCTCACGATATATTGGGGGAAGAGAGCAGTACTATAAGTCAGAGAGTAGTTAAAATTTGAGTTTTTCGAAGAAATAGTTTATTAGAATGTAAATAGTGTTAGACTTGACTTGTATTGAGAAACATGCGCACCCTATTATTATCAGCACAATATTGCTATCTTGTTTTATTGTAAACTCATTATTGAATAAATTATTACAAGTTGGTATTGTCCAAACATTCTTGCTTGTACTACTTACAAGAGTTTCGATTAATTATCTCGCGATACACCCACACAAAAGAAATAAATAGAGTTCATCACTTGAAACTCCGATTGAATGATTTTTTAATGTCTGCTTGGGTCAAACTAGATTTAATTATTTAAGCTTGATTTTCTACAAAATATAGAATTTTAATACGCTTGAGAGAGAGAACGATCTATTCAAAGAATTTTGCTCGAAACTTTCGAAATTATTTCATATACTAGCTATACTCGAGAGAGAGAGAGAGAGAGAGAGAGATCTCCTTTCATCCTTATATGTTTTCGCTTCAAGTTAATATTCCTGCTAATGCTAAATGGCCACAGAGCGGAGTGACTATTGCTGGAGGTAACGGGTATGGGGGTGCCACTAATCAACTCTACTTCCCTCTTGGTCTTTTCGTTGATGATGATCAAACAGTGGTTATTGCTGACAACCAGAATGGTCGTATCATGCAATGGAAGAACAGTTATACAACGAACGAACAAGTTGTTGCTGGTGGTAAAGGCCAAGGAACTCGATTACATCAATTGGATCGTCCAACTGATGTATTAATTGACAAAGAGACGGATGGTCTCATTATTTGTGAAGGCAGCCGAGTTGTACGATTGTCTCGCCGTAGTGGTATAACACAAGGTGAAATACTCATCGACAACATCAAATGTTGTGGATTAGCAATGGATGAGCAGAGATATCTCTATGTGGGTGTGTGTGTGGGTGCTGAGAAGATTATCACACAACAGCCACAACCACATGGTGGTTGGATGGATATAGCCTATGCAAAAAGGCGCGCGCTTCATTTTGTGTCAGGTAAATACGAACAACCAATAAATATATTTTTGGTTAGACGCAGTTTCGAACAGTCTCTCACTAATCGAATGGGTTCTTTTATGAGCTATGCAAAAATGAAGGAACAACCCAGTCGAAACTCAGGTAACGCACAGATATTTTTTCAACTTTGAACAAGTGTATCTAGAGAATGGTTAGATCAAGGGTGTGGGTGTATTTCTTTTTTCTTAACCCATACTCACACCCTATTGCTATCCCAGAGACTTGAGCTTGTGCCATCCATGCTCTTTTCAGTATATGCTTCAATAAAAACTGACGAAATAATGACTTCATGGGTTATTTGGATTTGCGGCAAATTCAAAATTAAACAAAAATGGATTCCTAAAGAAACCGAAAATTACAGCGGTGTAGTGGTATAGCGGTGTAGCCGTATTGCGCTATACCGCTGTGGTTTTGAATTTTGTGAGAAATCCTTTTTTTTAAATTGAATTTACCGCAAATTAAGATTCTCCAGCATATGATCAATAGAAACACCTACATTGTTAGTTACATGTTGGGGCATGCATGATCGCCAATTCATCGAAATTTTGTGACACCGAGTTGAACACGTATTCCATGAAAATAAATTTACTATTTAACAGTGATATTGATTGTTGATCTTTTTCGAATACGAGAAGGAGATCTATCCGATTATTTAGATAGAAGTTCGCAAATATAAACGCATGCCTTGTCGAAATATTTGATATCTTTCCTCCAATGAACTGTTCTTAGAATTTGATATAATTCAAAAAGAAATACATCAATGTTGAAAGCAAATACAGATAATTGATGTAAGAAGATTTAACTCATTAGTCAATATTTGATATAATAGTTTTTGTAAGATTTCGATCGTAAATGTTTCTATAATCAGCGATATTGTCTTCGTCAGTATATGTTCTTTAGTATTTTTCTTTGAAAGATTTTTTTATTACCTCGTGGAATATAATCAGTAACATAATTAAAGTAATTATTAAGCTGACGGGCAGCCACATATGAATTCCTCACTTTTTCTTTCATGTTCCTTTATTCTAGCGGAGAAAACACAATTTTAGTAAAATAGATTTTCATATACTTTACATTGAACGATCTTGTATTCTCTATTATCTGTTGTATTACAATTATCAAACTTTCCATGATAGTCCTTGAACTTTTCTTGCGGTTATTACAACAAACTCTGCAGATATAAAATAATTTCACATATATTCTAATCAGTTTATTATAAATGAATCCATTGGCGAAGAAAAAAATAAATAACTTCGCACTAATCAACACAATGCAAGTGTTGACTATCAGTGTATTGCATGGAATATCATAAATAAAGACTGCCAAGAACTAGAAATTTGTAAGAGACATTTGATTGATTAGATTAGTATAGTGTAGCTGAACGGTATGTGTGGGAAAATGTTTAATGTTTAGAAAACTGTGGAATGTTTTTTTCTGAATTCTGAAAAATCAACGAATTGTAGCACAGTTATTCAGCGACAGTAGCATATACTGTGGAAAAACTGCATAATGACTGTCTGTTGTCATTTGAATATTAATTATATTATGACACTGAGTTGTCTACTCAAAAACATATGCATAGTCGTTTTTGATATCTTGCACAGCTTGATAGTTCCCGTTAATGTGATGATTGATATTAAATTGGCAAAAAAATGATCATCACGACCATGAACAACGTTATATAATCGTAAGTAAGAAACAGTCAAGAAATATACATAAGTGAGAAGTAATTGAGTTCGAAAAAGTATTCTTGAAAAATAAAATCACTCTTTTGCCATTTCAATAGGCTCTAGTCCGCAACTTCGAGACAAATATACTAAACTAAGGTTGTGGTTGCTAATCTTTTTCTTTATCGTTTTTGTAATTTTTATTCAATACAAGTTTACGTTCTAGTAGAATAATTCCACGCACTGTAGTCTCCTTGTTTTGTACAACAACGACTAACAGATTTAAATAGTTCTGATTCTCAAGTGTTACCATTCATGAAAAAATAGTTCTGATTACTTTTTTTAAAACTTACCACTCAAAGCTAAATGCTATATATATATATATATGAGAAAGCATGTAATACCATGTAGTAACTATATATGAGCTGGAGCTTTCTTACAGGAAATCTAGTTTCTGAACGAATTCGGTCAGTTTAAGAGTAGATATTCTATTCGAATTTTTTGAGGATATTACTAATTATTTGTGCTGTGCACCGTAAAAAAGAGATGGCATTACGCAGAATGTTCCATCTGTTTAATTACTAGATTCTTGAAGTTGGTGAAGAAGTAGTTTCTTTTTGTTTTCAATTTTATCATTTCATATTTTCAGATGATATCAAGTAGTTTCTACGAATATATCGATAGAGAGAGTATTGATTCAGATCTTATATGCAAAATTTGTCGGAGCCCTTTTATTGATCCAATTGTGGTTCAATGTGGCGATACTTATTGCCGTCTATGTATTGAAAACGATATGGGAAATGGTTCTCATTGCCCGTCGCAGTCGTGTAATCAATTATTGAGTATTGGCCATTTGACACCAAACCCTCCGCCGCGCCTTGTCGTCTCAATGCTTGATAAACTTAAAGTACGATGTCAGCTCTGTAATGAAACAAATATAAATAGAGGAATCTTTGATGAACATGTAAAGACAAGCTGTTCTGAATATCGAANCTCTACAAAATCTAGTGAACATGTGTAACTGTGAGTGTGTAGGTCCGAGCCACGAGACGGTAAATGTTGATATTTATACCCTACCTATATAATAAATTTGATTTAAGATGAATTATAGTTTCATAAATTTAGAAGAATAAATTATTTCAAATGATCTTTTCGGTATATATTTCAGCAACAACTGATGAGATAATCGAATGTCTTGCATACGCGCTTTTTATAATTTTTTCTAAATTGCCAGTGTTATTCTAGAAAAAATTCCAAAAGTAAGAAATCTAGTGCTTCTAAATGAATTATTACTTCATTT